GACATTAGCATTGCTAATTAATTAATAAGTGCTACAACTCCTAATATTGTACCTCATCCATTCAGCCTGGAACCCAGTTTATTTTAAAGCAAAGATATAAAATGAACTTCACAAATTGTAAAGTACAATGAAATGTGCATTTTGGCTATATAAATAATCTAACTTTAGGTATACATACATATATCCTCCAGCAAATAAATTATAGAAAAATAAAAGTTGCTAAATGTCTAAGCAGTTTAATATAGAAGATATCGAAATCTTTTTTACACATTTAAATGTAAATGTTGTTACTTTAGTCTAGATTTCCTGGGGAGTTTGGCCTGAAGAAAGGGTTAATGACAGCACGCCCAGAGTGAGTATAAACTTGGAGGCTAATGTAAGAGTGTACTGATTAAAGCACCATGAGCTGGTGCCTGGAATGTAAGCATTCAGATAAGTGCAATTGAAAGCCAGTTTGAAGGTATTTGAAACCGGAAGCACTTGAAATCTGCTTTATGAGAGTAGGGGTGGCATCTAATGCAATATTGACTAGAACAGTTCTGATGGAGAAGCAGGGAGGCCATGAAACTCACAAGGAAGTTCACAGGACTCACAACCACCTCCACCCAGATCTGCTATTTACAACGAAGAATTCCTGGAGAGGAGGGGACTCTATCAGGATGGTAGCTGCCTCCAAGGTGTGCAGGAAACACCAGTGTTGTAGTCTGGCGAGTCTTCACCTGTGTTGGATCAGGGGCCTTCCCGTAGCCAGAGCACCTGAGTATAAGTAACCCTAGCAAACTCAGTGTTCCACTGAACTGGATTTGGGTAAGATAGCTTATTCCATCTGAGGTTGCTCTCTCTTACTGGGGTGAATAAAAATTCACATCTCAGGATAAGTATCATAAATAAGTGTGCCGGTGATTAAGAAAATGACAAAAGAAGCAGATAAAAGGGAAAAAGCAGAGAAATAGAGGATAGCAGACTGAAAAAAAGTAGAAATAAAAATATATGAAAATGGGTCACTCTACAATTTGAGTATGGGTTGGAGTGGGACACGTATTTTATCACTCATAATTCCCTACAAATTTGGAGCATCCTGGGGCCATTTGAAGCAAACCTTTAGTATGGAACTAAATGGAAGTGAAAACTAAACAACCCTTCCAATATCCTTTTCTGGTTTTTGGTACTTGTAATTCTTTTATTATTATTAATTTTGCATTATTTTAAATTTTGTTCTATGCAGTGCCTAGGGCCTCAAGTACACTAGGCAAATGCCCTACTACCAAGTTGTGTCTCTAGCCCCTATCTGTACTATTCTATAGCAAATATAACAGATGGAAATCACACCTTTGAAATCCTAACTTCTCCATCTTCAGTTACCCAAGAGCACATCTAACATGGCTTAAAAATATTTTAATAAGTGCCTGGAAAGGCTCCTTGCTGATGCCAAAGCTCCTGTATTGGCATACTAGATAATTGTATCTTCATTGTCAACACATTCCCACTGATTGTGATGTTTTCTACAGATGTAAAAAATAGAATTTCTTTTGAAAACATTACCCCTTGTTCTCAGTGGCATATTTGGGCAAAGGCAAATGTCAACTCAAAGGTCTCCAACAAAGGTATGCATTGTTTAGAGACATTGCCAATTGAAGAAATTCAGCACTGTGGACTGCCAAGAAACAAAACAAAACAAAACAAACAAAAAAGAAACCAGCACCTGACTCTGAGTGTGGTTTTATATCATTGTGTATGAAGCATGCCTGTCGGAGTTTCTCAGTGACTGCACATATCTTACTACAAAAACAAATGCATTTAACTTTAAATCTTATGAAACATGGTCTCATTCCTCATCATTCATTTATTCAACAATTACTTATGGTGGAAAATGCCACAGTGTGAGATTCTATGAAAGTTCAGTGTGTCCAGTAGAGGTTGAAAGATGTGACACATGTAAATGGAGAAAGAGAGTAGAACTAGGAACTAGGGAAGACACAGATAATCTTTTACATTGTTGTTTAGGCCAAATAAGAAAACAGGTATTATTTTAATTCGATGAATCAACATTAACTAATCTAACAGAGTCCCCCACCAGCTCAGTCTCAACAAAACAAAAGCTTAATTTTCACTCAAGCTAGAGTCTGAAGCAAGTCAAATATTTCTGATTGGCAGGATTTGCTAAAGAACAGATAAAAACAATACAGTTCAACATCTATGCTCATGCTCACATGGTCAATTGCCAAGAACTCTAACCCTGGTTAAATCTAATTCTCCACTCCTTCAACTGTACTCCATTTCCTGCCAACTGTACTACATTTTTCTACTCTGTAGAATTTTCCTGGAAGGTTATTTCAAATCTCTTTCTCTTTTTCTCTCCCTGATTCTTCTATGTAGTTTCATCTACCTTTATTCTCACATAAATATCTTGATTTTATTTGACCAAGGAAAGTTAAGCAACCCAAACACAATTTCAACAAGAAACTCCCACCTCAGTTATTTTCCTGTGGTGTCTTCCCCAAGCTCCACCACTGTCCATGGTGTCCCCATCTGAGGCTAATCTCCTAATGCTCTTGGGATACTTTCCTATTCCAGTATGGCACCAGTCCCACCAGTCCCATGATTTTTCATTTGTATTCTATCCATTTACTTCCTCTTTTCCTTGGATATTATCTATTAGAAATAAGTCCTTGTGTCTTCCATCTTATAAACACTTCTTATTCCAACTCTGCTTTTATAGATTTGTATCTTTCCCCCTAATAGCAAACCCCTCAAATCAGTGTGCACATTCACTCCATTTCAGTGCTTAAAACCACTCTATTAGGAATGTGCTCATTAGAGTTCATCAACTTTACAGAAACCTAGACATTCCTGGGAAGAGGAAACTTCAGCTGAGGAATCACCTCCATCTGACTGGCTTGTGGGCTATTTTCTTGATTGCTAACAACTTTAGGATAACCCAGCCAACTGTGAGTTGCGCGATTCCTGAAAGGATAGCCTGAGTTGCATATGCAATACATGTGAGCAAACCAGGAGAACAAGTCAGTAAACAGCTACTGTGGTTTCCACTTTAGTTCCTATTATCCCTAGAGAATGGACAGTAAGCTGTAACTATTATTCCTCAACCTGTGTTGGTTCTGGTTATGGCATTTTCCATAGTTGCAGGAAGCTAATTAGAGCAGATGTTTCTTTCAAATCATCCTTTCATCTTACTAGTAAGTAATGTATTACTTATTGGTTGCTTACATGTCCTTATTTTATTAATCAACCAGCCGCATTTATTTAACATGCTTCACCACTCTTTTCTTTCAAACATCCTTTTTCATTCTCAGATATTCTGGAACAATAAAATCATACCACTACTCAGCCTGAGACATGATCAAGAGTTTTTCAATTCTGCAGGATGAAAGCAACATTCATAAAGCATCCTCCATGACCTTGTGTACTATGATCAAACCTCATTTCTATCCTACTGCAGCTGCTGTTACTTCCTGATACTGCCGATCCTGGGTCTCCTCCTGGCTGTCTCCCTCTTCCTGTTTCCTTCTGCTCTAATTCTTCGTTTCCTCATATCCCCAGTCCAAATTCACTTACTTGAAAGTCTTTTGTTCATAATGCAAAAGATGTTCTTTTGATCCTTTAGAAATTGACTTACCAGATTTTGCACACTTACTACTGTGCACATTTCCCATAAGTGTTCACAGGCTGCTATTCTGATTTGCTCACTTCTCCATGTCCAAATCCAAAAGCAATTCCTGGGATTTGGTATTGTTTTCACTCATTTCACACTAAGAGATAAGGTGAATATCAGATTTTACCCATAAGAATATCAGATTTTACCCATAAGAATTTTGAAGAAAAAGTGTATGTCTTCAAAGTGCCAGAATGGTAGTCTAGTTACTGTATTGACATCTGCTGGAAAGTCACCTAGAGTAAGTCAAGTTGTGAATGTTGACCCAGTACTAAGCAGCAACAATATATCCTGTATGTGTGTTCCCCCCATAACATAATATCTTTATTAATTGTTTCAGAATTTTATACAATACTATCTGATCACACTTGCTTCCCATTCCTCCCAGGTCCACCCTCCTGTTCTTGCATCCTTCCACAAAAAGAGAAAAGTATACCAAGTCCAATTTGTGTTCTTCATTTACACCCATTGGAGCATGGTCAAGCTCCTGGTGGCCAGTCCCTTAAAGAAAAATGAGTCCTGCCCACCAGACCCCTGCCGGAAGCCATCAACTGTAAAGGATTACACTTCAGCATCCTTATCCCAAGATTTAATAGTTTCCTGTCTGGACTGCTTCATTTTTTGGAGGGTGGGGTGAGAGAGGTTGTCACAGAAGCCTTCAATGCCTCTTAGTCTCAGTTATGAGTCTGCAGTCATCAATACCACTGTAAAAGAAGCTTCCTTGCCTATGGCAGTCAGCAGCAGCACAGATCACAGACACCAGTGTGTCCTCCAGTGGTAGGAGGGAATGCAGACATCAGCATTATTTCCAGTGGCAGTATGGATAATGGACATTGACATGGTCTCCAGCAGTAGCACTCAACTATGGTCTCACCAATGGGATCTTTAGCATCATGGATGTCAACATGGCTTCCAGCAGTGTCTAAATGCATTATCTACCACTAAAGAAAGGAGCAAAGGAGCCAGAAGACATTTGAACAAAATCCAGTGAGATTGGATAGCTTTACATAAGATGCAAAGGAGAAAGCTTTTGGGAACAAAATAATGCATAGAAATAAGCCCAGAAAAGTAGTATTGAGATGAATGAATGAATGAATGAATGAATGAATGTAGAAAATAGTAAACCCATACCAATGCAAGGAAGTCTCCACTTGCCTTGTTTCTATATGCCCTGACTTACTGTTGTCTTTCGGCTTCTCTCAGTGAAACTTTTCCTTCAATTAAGTTCTTCTGAGTTTCTTTTTTTTATAGTTTTATTTAGACATTCCATTTTCCACCTTATTAGACATTGCATTTTCCATTTAGGATACAGTGCTTATAAAGTGCAATGTTTTTATTCTGTGCACATGTTCCATGTTCAAGTATTGAGAATGCCCAGTAATTTATTGTTAGCAGTTTAAGTTTAAAAACTGCCATGAAACTTTGCTAAATTTGGGTCCTTCAAATGTTTCCCTGTGGAACAATGCTACACCTCTGCTTGGACTGACTTAATCCACCTCTTCAATGGTAGGCCCTGAAGAAGCACCACCAGATGGAGGAGCTCCACCACCAGGGAAGCCCCCAGGCATTCCTCCAGGCATGCCACCAGCACTCTGGTACAGCTTGGTAATGATGGGGTTGCAGACTTTCTCCAGTTCCTTCTGCTGGTGTTCAAATTCTTCCTTTTCTGCAGTCTGATTCTTATCCAGCCAACTGATGATCTCATTACACTTGTCTAGGATCTTCTGTTTGTCCTCATCATTGATCTTGCCTTGAAGTTTCTCATCTTCAACTGTTGCTTTCATGTTGAAAGCATAGGACTCCAGTGAATTCTTGGAGGAAACCTTATCTCTCTGCTTCTCATCTTCAGCTTTGTACTTCTCAGCTTCCTGGACCATGCGTTCAATATCCTCCTTGCTCAAGCGGCCCTTGTCATTGGTGATGGTGATCTTGTTCTCCTTGCCAGTGCTCTTATCTACAGCAGAGACATTGAGGATGCCATTGGCATCGATGTCAAAAGTGACTTCAATCTGAGGCACACCACGGGGTGCTGGAGGGATGCCTGTAAGTTCAAACTTTCCAAGCAGGTTGTTATCCTTGGTCATGGCCCTTTCACCTTCATAGACCTGAATGAGCACACCGGGCTGATTGTCAGAGTATGTAGTGAAAGTCTGTGTCTGCTTAGTAGGAATGGTGGTATTGCGCTTGATGAGGACTGTCATGACTCCACCAGCAGTTTCAATACCAAGGGAAAGAGGAGTGACATCCAACAGCAGCAAATCCTGAACATTCTCAGACTTGTCACCAGACAGAATGGCGGCCTGAACAGCTGCACCATAAGCAACAGCTTCATCAGGGTTAATGCTCTTGTTCAGTTCTTTCCCATTGAAGAAGTCCTGCAGAAGCTTCTGAATCTTGGGGATTCTGGTAGAACCACCCACCCAGGACAATGTCATGGATCTGTGACTTGTCTAGTTTAGCATCTCGAAGGGCCTTTTCTACAGGGTCAATTAAGTTCTTCTGAGTTTCTTAATGCTCTCAAATTCTTCTGTAACTTCTCCATAAATGAAACCACAAACTCAAAGTTTCTGTTATTTCTCTTTCCCCACCTTCATCTTCTTTCTTCCTGCAATTCTTTCTCATTTTTTCTTTTCTCCTCTCTGTCTTTATCACTTTTGTCAATCTGCTCTTTCCCTTCTTCATCACATTGTTTTCCTTAAAATATTGGTTATTCTGTCATTGTGTCGAAATCCTCTTCGGTACTAAATCAAAACTACTCCAAAAAGGCAGGCTTGAAATTGCCTGTTAACCTCTATGTAACAAGTAAAATAGCCATAAATAAATATATAGATAGATTTAACACACCCACACATACACACACACACATACACTCCCTGTATCTGTGCCTAGACTGGGAAGGAGTTGAGAAATGTGTATGCAGGGAGTGCAAACCTCTACAGCCACTTTGGAAATCAGTATAGTGGTTTCTCCAGAAAACGGGAACCAGTCTACCTCAAGATTCAGCAATTCAACTCTTAGGCATACACCCAAAGGATGCACATTCATACAAGGACATCTGTTCAACTATGCTCATAGCAGCATTATTTGTAATAGCCAACATGTAGAAACAACCTAGATGCCCTTCGACTGAAGAATGGATACCAAAAATGTGGTATATTCACATAACAGAGTACTATTCGGTGGGAGGAAAAAATGGAATATTGAAATTTGCAGGCAAAAGGATGGAACTTGAAGAAACCATCCTGAGTGAGATAACCCAGCCACAGAAAGACAAACATGGTATGCGCTCACTCATTTAAGCATATTAGACGTAGAGAAAAAGATTATTAGCCTATAATCCACACCTCCAGAGAAGCTAGGAAACAAGGAGGACCATAAGAGAGGCATACATGGTCCCCCAGTGAAGGGGGAAGGGACAAGAGCCCCTGAACAAATGGGGAGCATGGGGGAGAGGGGAGGGAGGTAGGAGAAAGAAGAGGGGAGAGGAAGAGGGGGGAGGAGAACATCAGGGGTCAGGAAGATTGAGCAGGGAGAGGAATAGAGGAGGACAAGAAAGAAACACACCAATAGAGGTAGCCACTATAGGTTTAAAGAGAAATCTGGCACTAGGGAATTGTACAGAGATCCACAAGGATGACCTAAGCAATAGTGGAGAGGCTGCCTTAAATGCCTGTCCCCTATAATGAGATTGATTACATGCCATCCTAGAGCCTTCAGCCAGTAGCTGACAGAAGCAGAGATCCACAGGCAAGCGCTGAGCCAAATTCCTGGAATCCAGTTTCAGAGAGGGAGGAGGGTCAAGACCAAGCTGGAAAAACTCACAGAAACAGCTGAACTGAACAAGTGGCAACTCATGGACTCCAGTCTGACAGCTGGGGAACCAACACAGGACCAAACCAGGGCCCCTGAACGTGGGTGTCAGCTAGAAGCACTGCGAAGTCTATGGGGCCTCTGGCAGTGGAACCAGGATGTGTCCCTAGTGCATGAATGGACTTCAGGAGCCCCTTTCCCATGGAGGGATACTCTCTTAGCCTAGATACACAGGGGAGGACCTAGGCCCTGCCCCAAATGACTTGACAGATTTTGAATATTCCCTCATGGAAGGCCTCACCCTCCCTGGGGATTGGATGGGGAGATTGGATGGGGGGAGGGTCCATGGGAGGGATGGGAGGATGGGAGGGAGAGGAAACTGGGATTGATATGTAAAATAAGTTTGTTTCTAATTTCAATAAAATCTATTATTAAACAAGAGAAGTGTAGCTGAATGTTTTGTATGGCTTTTAGCGTCCAAATATCTAAAGCCTGATATGTGACGATCTACTGTTTAGAATTGAATTTTTGTCATCTAAAACTGGTCAAAGGCTTATAAATTTGGAAATTATTATTATTTATTAGAATTGCAATGGCATTTAAGCATTCATTGTGAATTATTTTAAAGTAACAATGAGTTATAAATACATATTGACACTCAGAATTATGAAAATATACAGTTTCTGTTACTATAACAGAATTTAGGCTGAGAGGTTGTATAACTAATTCAGCTGTATCTGAACACAGCTGTGAAATGTCAAAGTTTCTGGAATATCGATTTTATATTGTGCGCTATAAAAAAGAGATAAGTCACGACATGATAAGGAGTAGCATCTATTCTATTGCAATCTAAATCTTGTAATCAGTTCAACACATATTTTAAAGCACATTATGCAATACACTAAAAATAATGATTTTGAGACAAATTAAACTATAACAGCCTCAAATCAGTTTGCCCACACAGTTAATATGTTGATTAATGTCCTGTTAAGACTGAGACACTCATCTTTATCTCGTTACTCAACCCAGCGTTTTCCCACAGCTATTGAGAAAAATGTAATTATTACTCTAAATTATGTTATTATTAACTTTCAAATGGTGCTCCCTGATAAACAGCAGCACAAAACAAAGGATAGTAAGGAGTGAGTGAGCAAGAGTGCAGCTACGTTGGTATGTGGGACCACTGCCTTTCAAATCTTTCTGAGGCTGAAAGGAAGTGAGGACGGTGTTCTTACTATCAAGAAAGCATGATATCAAGGGCTTTAAATATTGATGTCCTGGAGCCTGCATTTGTCAAATAAAATACAGCTGACAATAATTCCAAACATTGAATTCCGTTCTGGAAATGTGTGAATACAGAAGTCTCTTCTCATGTGCCCATATTTATGGATTCTTGACAGAGTGATCAGCACAAAGGTTACTCACCCCAATATTGTCGTATTTTTTTCTAATATCTGAAGTTTCAGAAGGAGCATTTCTTGGTGACCTTTACCTAAAACAAGCATGAGTTCAGAAGCAGAGCTCTGGGATCAGATCACACCTGTGTACTTAAACTGACTACTTGCCTCTTCTATCTTGTCAGAGATATTATACAATGCAAAATTACAAAGCATTTTGAAATTCTTAAAAGATAATGTACCAATGCTCTGTTTGAATTTCAAAACTAAGATGAATCTTTTCAGAGTTATGTTTTTGACATTATTATTATGCAAAATGGCATTTTCATGCATTAACTCCCAGAAGAACACTGAGAGATACCCAGTAACATTATCATATTCAATAAAGGAGATTACACCAGAGTTTGATGGCTGCAGTTCCTTTGCCTTGATTACTAAAAAGGACAAATTATTAAAGTACTTCCATCTGTATAAAACTACTCATATTCTAAGAAATTTTAATAACATGCCTAGAATCTAATAGATGAGAAATGAGCATTAGCACTGATATTCCATAGTTGGTGAGGCTGAGGACCAGAAGGATGGTGAGGTTTAGCTGAGAAAACATCAGTGAATCAGGAGATGAAGACTGGTGAGATTTGGGAATGCAACATTGCCAATATCATTGAAGACATAGAGTGAGGTGAATAAAACACAATAGAATCAGAGTTACCGAAGGGAAAATTGATAGAAAGCCACTGTCACTTAAGCTCAGAGAAGGTCTGTGATTTGGCTAAGATCATATAAATAATTGGCGATGGGGTCTCCCGAGAAGCTATGGTGGGTCCAATCAATATCAAGCATAAGAAGAGCATTCCAGCGAGCCAAAGCTAATAACAAAGACATATTCAGGGTCAGGTAGATGACTGCAGATAACATAAGTGATCAAAATAGATATAGTCTTCGTACTTTAGGAAATACAGAGTTAGGGATACTGTAAGACATGCCACGAGTCTGTCTTCATTTTTTCTAAAAATTTCTGAGTTATAAAATAATGACTTACACAGTTATACTAGTTTTTATGTAAACAAGATGCACACTGAATTAGAAGTTTTGTCTCAAATATGTTAGATATATGAACTTTGATATAAAATGATATATCTTAACAGATCACTACTACTCTCTATCACATCACATTTTTCATTACAATTTTTTTGAGTATCAGATGACAAACTGAGAGTCAATTATTATCTGGCCGGCAAACCAAAGCCACCTTCTTACTTACCTGGATGATGTTACCTGACCCACTCTTATCATGGGATTCATGTTAGTCTAAGAGGCTATCATGTATAGGAATGCAGTCTAGACTAAAACTACCATAATCCAAGTTAATGAAAAATTATACTTTGCCTTATTAGATTTAACATGAAACCAGAATATAGAAGAAAAGTAAATACTTACTTCTAGGACAGATTCATATTTACATTAGGCTCATGTTAAGTCTTGCTTCATATACAAGCTCTTGAGATCAATCACAGTGTGATGATATCAAAGAAGTTAAGTTTGTATCTGGTCTTCGGTATTCACCAACTGTACTGGTGCCCACGCAGGAAACCATTACTCCATTTATCATTCAATAGTTTTGAAGGTCCTTGTTATCATTTTTTTGTAGCCATGAGCCCTCATACTCCATTAGTGTTCTGCCCACTACATGAAACAATTGCACAGACCTTGTGACAGCCTGGACAAGGAATCCATGAATCTGCCTGAGCTGTCACATGGCTAGCTGTACATGGGGACCTTACTTCTTTTCTGATTCCAATAGAGGACCGAAGCATACTTCTGTCAGTTCTTAGGGTTCTAAGCACTTCTGGGGTTCTGATTCTCCTTCACAAGGCAGCAGAAGGAAACAGCGGTTTCTATTATGAGGAACTCTATTGATCACCCAATGCTGTCTTGATTCTCTCAAGTTTGGCACCTGCTCCTCTGAGCTTGATGTAGGGGTCAGGAAACATTTCTTATAAATGATCATATTCTTTCAAACACTTTCCTTTCTTCAGAACTCCTTCCATTGTGCTAAAAACCTCAGCTTCTAAATCAGAAAAATCAGGCAAGTATATTCTTTTCATCTCTAATCCCCTCCCAAGAAAATGAACATGGAGTTATTTAAGCTATCAATTATAATAGGTTGAAAAAGAATATCAGGTAATTCATTTCAAAATTGCAGCTGCCGTTTCTTGCCCAGTTTATAGTTTATTTCCTCTAAGTAACAAGGTGTTATAATTCATCCAAACCTTGGTATTTCTAATTGTGGGAAAGCAACTACAGGTAAATAATAGAAAGGGGGAGGCAGGTAAAGTTTTTTATATAAAATGAGCTATGTTGGTTATGTATGGAGTAAATTATATCAATTACACAGCTCAAATCTTTGCTTCTCGATGACTTTTAGATTTTTCTTTCCCCACTTTCTGTATACCAAACACTTTGCAATGTAAAAATTTAGTCACCTACAGAAGTAGAAGGAAATGGCTTAACAACAAATATCTAATGTAACTAATAATGAATGATTTACCGACACAAAAAATAGTATAAGGACCTATTCCCTAGATGCAGTAAATATGACAGACTTAAATCTGGTAACTCTTAGTTTGGGCTGAAACTTGTATTTATGTACCGTTTTAGTTGCAATGGTATTGAATCTAATCACAGATATCAGGCAAGCGCTCTGCCAAACAATCCATAACTACAACCCCAAAGCTTGCATTTTTAACCTATATAAAACATACTTTTTGTAGAAGACAAGCCTGCATAGCATACAAATACTTCATCAAAAATCACGTTACATATACACTGGAGGTGTAAGTAAGTTAAAATGTATTTCTGGTTCCTGGTCTTAAGCACAGGCCACCAGAATGTGGAAAATGCCATTATGTGACCACTCAATTGCTTTTTCTCTGAGTCAGACACAAATTATCAGAATTCCTTCTTAGCATCTGAAGGAAGCCAAAAGGAGTTATGTAAGTTCCAACTTAAAACAACTAAGAATTTTTTTTAGGTGAGAGAGGAAGCTGACAGAACAACAACAACAACAAAAAAACCAATTGGGTGTGGAGCAAAGATTGAAGGCTTGTTTTTTTTTTTAATCCGTCTCTATTTCCAACAAGACTCAGGCTGTGAGTAAAGCTGTTAGAGTCTGAATATAGTCCTCTAGGCAATAGCAGCATTGCTGAGCTATGCCTTCAGGGTTAGTCACATCTCAGATGTTCCACTGTTTCCTCTCATGAGTCATCTCATGCCCCTGAGAGCATCTCCTTTTCAACTTGGCAACATGAAAGAAACTCTTCATATTACTTTCATATCATGGCTTTTGAAAATCAATCTTTATGTAACCTAAATCAATGAGAAAAATACAATGTGGGAGGAAGACACTACTCACCAGGAGACCTGGCATCATATAAGATCTTTATTCTGCCACCAAAGACAGTGCAAAGTAAACAAACCCTTCAGTCCAAAAGGGAGATGGCTGGGATGAGCTAAAATATCTTAGCCATTTTAACTGATGTGTTTTTCCTGTGTTTTTTATAGATTCACCCAGAGGTTTATCCAGTTACTTTCCAAAATTCAGAGTGAATCCCACAGGTGATTTCTGAATCCTTTCTTCTTTCTCCATGTCAGAAAAAGAGACAATACATGCCATGTCAATAACACTGTTTATACATCAATATAAAATCCTGGGTATGAAATATATAACATGAACTGTGAGGTAAATCAGCTGATATTCTCCAGCTAAGGAAGAGAAGACTTGGGCCAAGAAACTTCTTGGGTAGTTTTCTTCCCTTAGTATGTTGTATGGTTGTATGCTTAAAGCTGGGTGTAGCTTTCAGTTTGTTTGTTTTTTTACAAGGTTACCCTCAGAATTAGTTTATGAGACCAAGCGAACAGGAGCCTGAAGAGAGAGCTGGTACACTTCTGCCCACACTAGGGGCAGAGGACAGAGGTGAGCACCCGGTCCCCCTCTTAGACCCGATTTTCTCCTGCTCGCCCTCTCTTGGAACCCCTGGCTTGAGGACAGCAGCCAGGTTGACTCCGCCGGAGGGACACCCAAGTGACCAGGAACCTGTAGAGAGAGCTGGGCCACTTCTGCCCACACTCAGGGCAGAGGTCAGAGCCAGGTCGACTTCCCTGGAAGGACAACCAAGCAACCAGGAGCCTGTGGGGACAGCTGCTCCACTTCCACCCAAACCCAGGGCAGAGGGCAGAGAGCAGAGGCCAGAGAGTAATGGATTTGCTTGCATCCACCTGTAGGAGTGAACCCCACAAAATTATCCGCCCATGAGGGCAGGGACAAGTCAATTAGCACAGGTAGAGATAAAAGGAAGCCAAAGGAAAAAGGACCTCCTGTTTTGGAAGCCGGCCAAGCTTCTGACTCCAAACTTGTGTGATTCTCTCTCTCTGGTAAATAAATATATTGTATTCCCTATAGCATTGACTATCATCATTGCCCACCAAAAGGGAACCCTGGTTGCCTACCCACCAGGAGAGGAAGAGACTTTTTCTACACCCATTGGAAGAAGTGATGGGGAAAAGGCAATATAAGAACACACTCAGCAACAGAAAAACAAATATGACACCAGCAGAGTCTAGAGATTCTACACCAGTAAGACCTGAACACCCCAATGTGGATGAAGCAGAAGAGAATGGCCTTAAAAACACCTTCATGAAAATGATAGAGGCCCTCAAAGGCGATATGAGAAAATCCCTTAAAAGAAATGGAAGAAAAAACCAAACCAAAAAATGCAAGAAATAGGAGAAAAAACAAACCAAAAATTCCAAAAAAATGGAAGGAAGGGAAGAAAACACGAAGCAAATTACAAGAAACAATTCAAACACTGCAAGGATTAAAAGCTGACATGGAGACAATAAAAAAACACAGTCTGAAGGAATGCTGAAAATCGAAAAACTGGGGAAACAGACAGGTACTACAGACGCAAGCATAACCAACAGTATACAAGAGATGGAAGAGAGAATCTCAGGTGTTGAAGACACACTAGGAGAAATATATTCATCAATCAAAGAAAATCTGAAGTTCAAGAAATCCCTAACACAAAATATCCAGGAAATATGAGACACCATGAAAAGACCAAACCTAAGAATAATAGGTATAGAAGAGGGTGAAGAAACCCAATTGAAAGAGACAGACAACATATTCAACAAAATCATAGTAAAAAACTTTCCCAACCTAAAGTAAGACAGGCCAATGAAGGCACAAGAAGCTTACAAAACACTAAATAGAGTAGATCACAAAAAGGTCCCCTTGCCACATAATAATCAAGACCCCAAGCATACAAAATAAAGAAAGCATACTTAGAGCAGCTAAGAAAAAAGGTCAAATAACATATAAAGGCAAACCTATAAGAATTACACCTGACTTCTCCATGGAAACTCTGAAAGCCAGAGGTCCTGGATAGATATTCTATCAACATTAAGAGACCACGGATGCCAGCCCAGACTACTATACCCAGAAAAGCTTTTAATCACTATAGATGGAGAAAGCAATATATTCCATGACAAAACCAGATTTAAACAATTCATATCCACTAATCCAGCCCTACAGAAAGTCCTGTAAGGAAAACTCCAGTCCAAAGATGTTAACTACAACCAGGAAAACATAGTAAATAGATAATCCCACTTTACCAATACCCAAAAGAGAAAAGGGATGGAAATCCACATACAATTCCACAAAGAACAACCATTCCAAAACAAACAAGAACCAGCAATCAAAGGTCAATAATATCCCTTGATATAATGGTCTTATATCGCCCATAAAAAGGCACAGGCTGACAGAATGGATTCGAAGACAGAACCCATCCTTCTGCTGCATACAAGAAACAAACCTCAGCCTCAAAGACAGAGTTAAGGGTTGGGAAAATATTTTCTAATAAAATGGCCCCAAGAAACAAGCAGGGGTAACAATCCTAATATCTAGCAAACTAGAATTTAAACAGAAATCAATCAAAAGAGATAAAGGAGATCATTTCATGTTCATCACAAGAAAAATCCACCAAGATGAAGTCTCGATTCTGAACATCTATGCCCCAAATACAAAGGCATCTACATTCATAAAATAAACATTACTAAAACTCAAACCACACATAAAACCTCACAAACCAATAGTGGGAGACTTCAACACACAACTATCACCACTAGACAGGACTACAAGACAGAAATTTAACAATGAAACAAAGGAACTAATAGAGGTTATGACCCAATTGGGTTTGACAGACATCTACCAGCCCATTCCATCCAAACACATAAGAATATACCTT